AGGAATGCAAGAAAAAGAAGAGACATTGCAACTGATATATAATATAAAATACTTATGAAGAGAAGAGAGGTTACGCTAGCACGTAGGAGAGAGACACAGTTGCCGTGATCCTGGCCTTTAGCAATGTGGGCCATTTCCTGCATTGGTCCACCGTTGGAGAGTATGTCCCACTCGCTTCTAAGTCGTTCATTGCGTAGGAAATCAAAGAGCCTTTGTGGAGAAACAGGTAGCCAGACAGAGGTCGCAGCGCTCAAAACTATGCCTGGTGGCTCACCAGGATCATTAACCCTCTTTCGGGTCATAACCCTAACATCTTCATCAACATTTCCGGCATTCAGCTTGTTCCATTTGTGCACTGTGGAGGCACAAACCCCAGCACAGAAGTTATCGGTCATTCTTTGCGCCAGCTTCAACATGCTTCGGCGACCACTTGTAGTTATCGCTAAACAAACACTTTACATGTCAACAAAGGTTGTTTTGGCAAGTTACAAAGAATTCCACATTGTTTAGGAAATTGGCATTGATATTAACCTGTGTGGTCTCTACTAGGTACATTGGAGGACAAGAGGATGGCTAAACACTCGCATTGACGTTGAAGGGTAGCTATCCATCGTTGGGCACCAAAGCCCATGCCGGAGCTTATCACCGGCCGATAGAGCTGGTGTAGTTGCCTTTCATCATATTCTGCATGCTCAACCCATGTAACCTGCATTTTAATAGTTTTGTTAGTTATGATAGGGTTAATTGCACCAACTGCTCAAGTTGGAAAATTAACATATTCATTATTGTTTAATGATTGCTACCATGCGAACTGATTGCTTCTCTTGTAGAGAAAAAAGACTACATGTTCTTTTTACTTGGCTAATGATTAGGAATTAAAGCCACACAATATAAAAGATCAAATGCCAGTTCCATGGAAGAAGGCTGAATGTCAGTCAAAGGCTGGATGTCAGTCAAAGTTCGTAGATTAAACAACAGCAAAAAGGATGTAGAAGGTTCATATTTTATTACTGTAAAGCATCAACCTTCTTCTGTGTCATTTTATAATATTTTACATATATTGAGTCCATATTCAGACTTTCGAAGCAAATTTCCATATTAATTTACAAGGCAAATCTAGGGAAAGGGCTCTAGGTTGGGCTCAAAGAAAGAAATGGAATCAAGCAGTCCTTGCATAAAATAATGAAATGGAAAAAGATTTTGCAAGATTTGAGGGAACAAAGTACACAGTAGAAGCTGACATCGAGATGTGTACTATGGTCTACATATACAAGCTTGGATACTCAAATGGTAACAAAATAATCAGTCTTGGACTTTGACAATTAGGACTCTTCATTGATTAAATAAATAAATAAATAAAACACAAGGCTGGAACCAGGTCATACGCTGTAGCATGATTAAATACAAGATAATGAAGATAACCAAGATTGCATCATTGGAATAGAAGCATCAAATATATTGTTTATTCAATCAAAATTGAGGATAACTAGGCATTTACTAATGAAGGATATGAAATCAATGCGTTTAAAGCACCGCAATTCAAGTAATGGAGACTTCTATTTGATAAAATAAGTGGTGTAATCTCGATTTGCTGCTGTACCATGGAGTTTTTTTATAAAAAAATTAAGCAACCCTAGTTGTTGAAACTTGAAATTTAAACAGTGTTTTGACGTCAGAAGAAGCATCCAAGACTATTATTAGACTCTAGGAAGGTTCAGATTGTGACGGGGAAACAGTGGGTAATCACTTGACAAACAAGACTCTTAGATGCATGAGCTCTCTAAGTGGCTTGGGAATGCAAATGCTCATGATTTTTGACCTGGTGTTTTGCCACAGATCAAATGTTCTCAACTGAAACACAATAAATGTAAAGAGAAAAGGGTACCGACCGGGCATGCTACAGACCAAAAACGTGCACTAGTTTCTATATTATTACCTTGGAGTACCCATTGGGCATATCTTGCACCACAAAACCAGAAGGAAGCCTCCTGCAGTTCACATATGTCGGGGGTGCACCGGAAGTTTCTCGGATGGTATCGATGGATACATCAACAACAGCCCAAACCCCCTCTGCGTGCTGCTTGCAAAATCGGAGAAAATTTACCTCACGCACCGGAACCAATGGGGATAAGACTTGGAGCTCGGCATGCATCTAAATATGATGGATTAAGAAAAGATTTAGAGCTAAACAAACTGCTAAACAAGCACCACCAAAAATAGTAGAAATCTTACTAACAACAGTGAATAAGAGACGAGTAGCCTACCAACTGAAGTGAACCATTTCTAGTCCCCCCCATTCCACTGGCTATCACATCAGTGGTAGACGTCCTTGCAATCATACAAGGAAACATTTCTGCCCATCGGTTCTAGGAAAGATAAAGAACACAAAAAGTAATTCCAATGAAATTAAGAAAAAAAATATATTAAACAGTCCAAAAAATTTATATATATATATAGACACCAATAAGGAGAGATTTTGAACAACTCACCGAATCCATCAGTGTCTCAACTAAGGCCAAACTGTTTATGATTACCATACCAGTCTCTCTAGATGCCTCACTAACAAAGCCACTAGGCTTCATTCCAATGCAAGGAGTGAAGGTTCTCAAGTACTCCTCATGGTTCAGTATTTCTCTACCACCCTCAAAGCTCCCGATCCAAAGAGGCTCATCCGTCTGAACCATCTTCACCAATTCATCCATGGCAGCTAAAGCCAACTCCAAGAACATGGATCTCTCTAATGATCTATCAATACCAGTAACACCAGCTGTTGCTAGTCTAGTTTGAGTTACCATAGGCAAAGCACCAGAAATCCCACCTTCAAAATGAGGTCCCAAAGGCAATGTTGTAGCCATGGTGCTTAAACCAGCAAAACCATTACTGCCAACTGCAAGTTCCAGGCTTGAATTCGGCATCGGAGGGCCATGTGAAGAAGCTAACGAAGATATGGGGCGACCCAAGAACTTGCCCGCAAGTGCACAAACTCGATCTAGTTCATCTTTTAATCTAGCATTCTCAATCCTCAAATGCTGTTCTTCAAGTGAAATATCACCGATTATCGCAGGACCACCACAGTTTGAGCACGATGGATTTCTCATGGCATCTCTTATGGACATGTTTTCTGCTCGAAGCTTGTCGTTATCTTGCCTGAGTAATGAGTTCTCATGGCGCTCCAGTTGAGTCTGTTGCAGCAAACAATCAAACACATTTTAACTTTCTATCCATAAAAAATCCAGCCCAAAAGGGAAAACATCCATGGTTTGTTAATTATCATTCATCACCTTCATTTGGGTTCTACGATTCTGAAACCAGAACTTGACTTGCCTAGTCTCCAAGCACAGCCTTCTACTAAGCTCCAATCTTTGTTTCTCGTCAGGATGAGGACATTCCTTAAACAAGCTGTAAAACAAACAAAAGCAACACTCTCTCAATATCACTCAACAAATCCTGTTGAAAGTGCAAATTAGTGATAGATATCATACGCTTCAAGTTCTTGGATTTGTTGTGGAGTGTGTCGGTGGTATCTCTTTTTTCTTGGAGGTTTATCAGCTGCATCTTGATCGTCACCAGACGCGCCATCCATGTTATCACTACCAGATCTGCTCTCATGTTCCTCTTCTCTGCTTCTCCTACCCACACTTGTCTCAAAGTTCTCAGCCAATCTAGTTATATCTCCTTGACCATCTATGTTTGGCTGTTGCTGATCAAGAATCAAACATAAACGAGGATGTTAAGGTTAAAGACCTCACCAAACAAACAACCAAAGTCACTTAGTAGCCAAACAAAAAAGAAACAAATAGAAAGATGTAGATATGTACAAGGGCTAGAGAGAGTCCAGGAGAGTTGAACACGGATTTAGTGAGAGAAGGAGAGACAAGGCGAGTCTGTGCCATTGCACCAGGGGGCATGTTTTTGTTATTGTTATAAGGTATATCAGCCACGATTCTTGCGCCACCACCACCAGGACTAGTGTTTTCAAGGAAACCCCCAAAACTCATTAAAGCTTAAGCCTGTTTTTTTTTACTCTATTTTTACACTAGACTTAAACGCCCTTTCTAGATTCACAAGAAACCATGCATAACCAAGTTTGAATCTTGAAATTATCATTCAAAAACCAAACCACAGATAGCCAAACAAAGAAATCCTGAAATGGGTTTTTTAAAAAAATGAAGAGAAAATTAAAACTTCCCCCAAAATAAAGAAATCATAAGAAAATAGAAACAAAAGGGAAGAAGATAGAGAGGTAGAGTAGACACAAGGATATATCTATCCAAATGTCTCCCAACTCCCTCTCTCTGCTGAAAACTGAGAGAAAGGAAGAGAAAGAAGGCAAGCAAACCCTTTTTGTTATCTTCTTTGCTGCTTAGGGCTTCCTTCTCTATCCCTCTCTCCCCTTCTAAAAACCCTTTTAAGTTTATGTCCGAAACTCTAACATTCAAGAGGCCTTAAATTGGCGTTGAGAAAACTCGGAAAGGGAAACCCTAGTTTTTTTTTTTTTTTTTTTTGGGGGGGGGGGGGGGGGGGCCGGGGGTGTGTGGAAGTATTAGTGTCCCGTTCTTTGCATGTTGACTGACACTGAGAGAGAACGGCTTCAAAAAGAGTACCAACAAGAGAAAAGATAAAAAACAAGGAAGAAGGAAGAAGACGAGCGGCCCAAAGAAGGATTTTGCACAGACAAGAAAGAGGAGAGAGGAGAAGCAAGTAAACCCCACAGGAATAAATAAAGATGAATTGAAATTATGTGGAGCATTCGAAGCCTTACAAATACAAACCTCCAAAGGAGTCGGTTGACTATCTTTCCTCTTTTTATCTCAAATAAGCATTTCTCTGATTTAGATTTTAACCCTTTTTAAGATGACAGTGTAAGAGTCAAAGAGTAAAAGCAAATTTACTTTCACAGAGTACTCGGATTCGGTGGTGCCCTTCGGGAGATTTTTTCTTCTCCTTTTGTTCCTTCTAATCCTGTCATGGGGATCTGTTTAGATGCATCGTAGCAGGAAGAAACTGACCACAACCTTATGTGGCCTCAGAAAGTGTATATTTTCATTTACTGGTGTATAACGCAGGAGTTGAATATACTGAAAATATATTTCTAATCAAATGGATAATGATTTCATATTGGTCCCAATTCTAACTCAAGGAGTTGATTTGAGTGGTTAATCGAGTGAAGTGAGCCTTCTTCTCTTCTTTTTGTTGAACCAAGCATGTAATCTATCTGGGCAAGATTTCTTTTCCATATGACCATAAGAGATACCTCCGAGTTATTTTGTGGCAATCCATGTCAGTTTAGTGTATTTAGAAAATTTTAATAAATTTCTTCAGATATAAGCTTTAAATCTGAACCCAAGAAGTCAATGATATTTCTTAATTACCAGGCAAGCTCCTTAGAGGTTCTTCGTAGACATGCTGCGTATTGAGTTTTTACCTTTCATTTTTTAGGCGAACAAGTAATTCCCCGCGTAAACATTCTGCATATGGATGCAAACGGATTGCCCTTTATTGACTACGAGCACCAAATTGCATAAATCTAAGAGGGTGTTTGTTTTTTGTAAATATTTTATAGAAAAAGGATTTTTTATTTATGTTTTTGATTTTTGTGAAATATTTTAGAGAGAACTATTAAAATATCTCCTAATAAACCTTTAAATTTAAAAAATAGTTAATTTATAAAGTCTTATAAAATATTTTCATGGTAAATAATTTATTCATTATATCATCATTATTATTGTTATTATTATTACTTCATCTCTCCATCACAAAATTAAAAACACTATTACCTAGGGGTGATTATTTTCAGTTTGATTCGGTTTTTATCAAAAAAAAATAACCAAACCGAAAAAAAAAAATTTGAAAAAAAACCCGAAACCAAACCGAAATCGGGTCAAACTGACCGGTTTCGGTTCGGTTTTTTAGGGGAAAAACCGGTTCAAATCGGTTTGGTTCGGTTTTTCCGATTTGACTCGATTTTTCTCGGTTTTGGCTCGGTTTTTCCGGTTTGGCTCGGTTTTGGCTCAATTTTTTTCTGTTTCGGTTCGGTTTGGTTTTTCGGGTTTTTGGTTATAAAACCGAACCGAACCGGCTGATTTTTTCAAAATTTTAATCGGTTTAATCGGGTTTTTTTTTCAGTTATTTTTTTTTCCCAGTTTTCTCGGTTTTTCGGTTTTTTTGCTCACCCTGCTATTACCACCTCCACCCTTACTGCACAACAATTACATTATTATAACACGTCATTATATTCTTTTTTTTTTTTTTACCACATTAGTTGCCAGCCAGCCATAAAATATTCTACAATAAAAATTATAATTTAAATTGGTGTTATTAGAATTAAACTCGATAATAGATTGATGAAGACGTCAATTTAAATATTCATTAACTGAATAAATAATTTGCTAGTTGAAACCATGTTTCACTATTGGTTTTATACGGTAGCTACATTTTATTTAATTTTTAAAAAATTTCAAAAATATTTTCAATAGTGTTTCAATAAAACAACTAAATTTAATACAATCAACAAAATTCCAAGTCTTTAAATAAACCTTCCAAACATCCAAGTTTCTAAAGTCAAAATACAAAAAGTACACAAATAAGTGAAATGACTTGAATTTTGATGAAAGGTTCCAAATTCAAATAAAAAAAAATTGGCTTGTTAGAAGTGAAAGCGCTTTAAATAAATAGATTAATTAGTTATCAAATAACCAGTAATATAAAAAATGTCAAAACAATTAATTTTGATGACTTTCAATAACCCTTGTGATAGTTGCACTAATGATTCATGTTGGCATGTATTAAACCAAACAATATCTCGCAGGCATGTGAGCAAGCTGACAAACACGTGCATAACTAGCCGTAAAAGCATTATAGGTGAAACTAGTCACTTTTCTTAGCTTTGTATGTAGACATATCTCAAGAGCATATTCACTTATCCTTACATGACTTCAGAGGCAATGCTACAGTTATCACTGTGATAATGTTTTTTTTTTTTTTTAAGGATTCAAGATTATTTTTCCCTGGCTATCTCCAAATCCAGGTTCAAAATACCTAGAATAGTTAGGGAATTATGTTGGGGTTTCTTTTGATTTTTTTCAATTAAAATTCCACGTATATCAAGTACTACCAATAAGATTCTACTAAACTAATGGGTAATTACCCAACTCAGGCACTTGAGAATCAATAAAAAAGAGGAAAAAAAAAAACATGAAGCAATGCATACAATTGATACCTTGGCAACGAAAGAGGAAAACACGTAAGAATAAGCTTATATTTTCAAGGTATTTTGACACTGTATTTTAAAAAAATAAAAAAATTCAATTAATATATTTTTAAAAAATTTAAATTATTTTGATGTATTAATTTTAAAAATAATCTTTAAAAAATAAAAAAATTATTAACATATTTTTTTCAAGTAAAAAATATTTTTAAAAAGAATCGTATTCATCATTTTAAATACACAGTTAGCCCATAAAATTTATGTTTATTATTAGCATAAGCTGCCACGTGTTTTTTCTAAAAAAATATTGACGATTTTTTATTAAAAAGCAAAAGAGGGGTTCTTCATTTCTTTAGATGCAATAACCAGTAAGATTAGGATTTTCAAATGTTTAAAACGATGTAGTTGTGATTTTAAGATTTTCGTTGTTTTAAAGAAGGATAAGAAGGAGAGGTCAAGATGATTATAGATAATAATTTTAAGATTTTTAGACGTTTAAAAATAACGTTGAATTTCAACCTCAAATTATTGAGAATTTAAGATTGATCATGTATTTTTATTATATTTTATATTTTGATTTTTTATCTTTTGATTTTGTTTTTTATAATAACTTATAACCTAATTTCATTTAACCAGGCTATAAAAATAAATAAAAATATTATTCTAATAAAAAAATCAGAAAATTGATCCTCATCCATGGCCACATTTTACCATTCTCATTCCATCACCCTAAATTCGAACGTCATTATCTATTAAATATTGAAAAAAAGAAAAGCTCTTACGTGCAGAACATTTATATTTGTAAATATACCTCAAGCCAGTAAAAAGCCCCCCTAATCCTTTTTCGAGGGAGCCAAATTTCTCCGAATAATAAAATGTCATGCACTCCTAGCATGAATTAATTGTTACAAACCATCTAGGTGGTGGCCAAGTGATAAGGACTTGAAATCAAGAGGTTTGTTCTCTCTGTGGTCTAGGTTCGAGTCCTTGGTTGCTCATATGACGGCCACCGGAGGCTTACATGGTCGTTAACTTCAGGACCCATGGGATTAGTCGTGGTGCGCGCAAGCTGGCCCGGACATCCACGTTAATCTTAAAAAAAAAAAAAAATAATAAAATTAATTGTTACATAAATGGCACCTTATTGCTTTGACTATTGAATAATACAAAGCAACCACTCTACCAAAGATTCCTTCAACTTGCATCAACTTTATTATGTGTATTTTCTTTTCCAATAATGTTAGCAGAATACGATGTTTCGCACTTCACAGCAGAATGCTTCTTAAAATAAACTTTTAATTTAAAATATGTTAAAATAATTTCTTTTATTAAAATCATAATAAAACATTAAAAAATATTAAATTTTTATTTTTTAAAACTAAAAGTATTTTTTAAAAACACTAAAACACCTAAAGAAAAAGGCAATAATTTGCCATCCCTCTTATCCTTTCTCCTTCACAACCCGCCACCAACAACTCCCTAAATTTACAACACACCCACACAACCGGCACCCCCCTCAGTGGCACTTACGTAAATAAGTTCAACCTCCGAACCCATTTCACAATCCCGATCTCCAAACCCCATCTACAGAAACGCTGTGTCCAACCCCCTCCTTTCAAAAAACAAAAAGATGGCCACTGCTTCGCTCTTATCCTCCTCGGCGGCGTCGTTTCACGGCCGATTCCCCACTCTCCCGCCGCCCTCAAACGCAAGAGTAACGTACGGAAGCCGGAATGGGGTGGTGTCAGTGAGAGCTACTGGAGATGTTGTTTTGGTGGACAAATCAGAAGCAGAGAAAAGCAATCGGCTCAAAACCACATTCCTTGAAAAAATCGTCCCTCTGCTGATAGAAGAGTTCCGCTACACTAACATTCACCAGGTGACTCTTTATAAATTTTCCAAATTACTGATAAAGTTAATCTAATTTGCAATTTGCTGAAATTTGAATTTCTCATTTCTTTAGGTTCCAAAAATTCAGAAGGTTGTGGTGAATTGTGGGATTGGAGATGCTGCGCAGAATGCTAAGGGGTTGGACGCAGCGATAAATGATTTGGCTCTTATCACAGGCCAAAGACCCGTAAAGACGCGGGCCAGGAATTCGGTTGCTACCTTCAAGATTAGGGAAGGCCAACCTCTTGGTATTGCTGTTACACTCAGAGGAAACGTGAGCATTTTTGTTTTTTCTCTTTATCGAATTTTCTTGTTTATTTTCATGGCCGCGGCTACATATTTCATGATAAAGTTAGCTCGGAGTCTAAACTCTAGAGGCTATAAATTATTTGGTCAACATAGCGCAAGATTTCTTCTTTTGTGTTTTGGAAGGGTGTTGTAGTTTTTGAAGGGGCCTTGATGAAAATGATATTAAAGATGGCTCTGTCAGGAGAAGCTGTTTGGGTATAGTTGAAGTTACAGGTGCAAGAGTGAAAAATACTGCATGTCCAGCTCCCTTCTCGATAGAGAAGAAATATCAGGATGGATATTTTTGTGATAATTATTGTAATTGTTGATTCGATGATGTGTGCTTTTA